CCACTTGAAGAGAAACACACCGGTGAAAAAGGATTGACAAAACAATCTTGATGATCAAGAAGGATTGGTATTCACCTCGGAGTATGAGAACACCATTTGGGGAAGGTATGGAATCAACATTTGACTTCAAAGCAACTCGAATACCACAACTCAAAACAAAACAAAGGATTGGCTTGCAGAATAGGCCGGAACAAACATATGATAGAGATTTCATCCGAAGTTTTCGTGGTGGGGCCTACACGGGCTCGATCGTACATCACCATCATGTACAAGGCAGTGCACATGACATACGAAGCATCCCCGAGTCGGCATAGCCAAGGACTCTTTAAGACACAACGAGACCACTGTAAAACCAACCGTGGATAGGCGGACCACTAGACGTCGAACCCCAATTTCATATCATACATCTGACGGAAAAATATCCTAGGAGCTACTTGAATTCCCACTTATAAACTCCCAAAACTTTCCATTTATGAAATCAGGTGTTGGGGATACAGGAGAAGCATAATATCTCACCCAAAACTAGCAAATCCTACATCCAGTTGTATCCATCCTTCAACACATAACCAAGAAACCTTCAGAAATTGTTTACCTCAACCTTCGAAAAGCATCCGTTATACAAGTTATGGCAATACTCCCGAACTCCCGCCCCAGTACTGGGTGGCGTCGAGGTTATCTCACCAACAACTGCATAAAAGAGATTTTCGATGTCGGCGAAACTACTCTCAGGTATTCCAGAACTACAACGATAAAATTGTGACGACAACACCTCAGAGCTCAACTCCCCAGGACAGTGCCACAACCCCTAAATGACAGGAGGCACCAAGAACAATGTTCTCGTCACAAAACCATCGGAATGATTCCAAAATACCCGCGTGATCCTAAATTTTTTTAGTGAAATTTGAGAAGAGAAGAGTCAAAACTCTATGTCAGGATGCCTCACCAAAGCGACGAAGGGACCAAGGAGTAAAAAGAAGTCCTAACTCTCTGATATATATAATTCCTAAATGACTCAAAACATTTCTAGACTCAATAACGCTAGCGATTCGATCAAACAGGGGGCTCCTAATGCCGGGGAAGGCTCTGATACCAACTTGTAACGCCCTCGATGCGGCTATATCTCCCAGGTGTCGAAGCACGACTTAGAGGCATAACCGCATTGAAAGCAATGTCGCAAGTGAGCTAATCTTCACACAACCCATGTAATACATAAGGGACAGAGATACATAGTTGGCTTACAATCGCCACTCCACACAAATACATGAATAAAGCATTACATCAACCAGATACAATCAACGTCCGACTACGGAACCAAAATAAAAGAAGACTGCCTCAAATGCTACACAGATCCTTGATCGTCGCGACTGGGCTCCACTACTGACCAACTGGAAATGGAACAACCCAATGAACACAAACTTCATCGAGCTCCTCCTTGAGCTGGGTTGCATCACCTGCTCAGTAACATCGACACCTGCAAACTGGTTTTGGAAGTATCTGTGAGTCACGGGGACTCAGCAATCTTACACCCTCGCGATTAAGACTATTTAAGCTTATAGGAAGGGAAAAAGGTATGAGGTGGAGCTGCAGCAAGCGACTCGCATATATGGTGACTAACATACGCAAATGAGAGCAAGAAGAGAAGACAAAGCACGTTCGAGAAAGTATGATCAAGAAGTGATCCTAAAACAACCTACGTCAAGCATAACTCCAACACTGTGTTCACTTTCCGGACCCCGCCGAGAAGAGACCATCACGGTAACACACGCGGTTGATGTGTTTTAATTAAGGTCAACTTCAGGTTTTCTACAACCGGACATTAACAAATTCCCATCTGCCCATAACCGCGGGCACGGCTTTCGAAAGTTCAAATCCCTGCAGGGGTGTCCCAACTTAGCCCATCACAAGCTCTCACGGTCAACGAAGGATATTCCTTCTCCCAAGACATTCCGATCAGACTCGGCATCCAGGTTACAAGACATTTCGACAATGGTAAAACAAGTCCAGCAACACCGCCCGAATGTGCCGACAAATCCCGATAGGAGCAGCACATATCTCGTTCTAAGGACACACTCAGATGAGACTAGCTACGAGTAAAACCAATCCTTAAGTTTCCCCGAGGTGGCCCTGCAGGCAGCTCGGTTCGAACCTACACTTAGAGAAGCACTGGCCCGGGGGGGTTAAAATAAAGATGACCCTTGAGTCTGTAGAACCCAACGGAAGGTGGTAGGTTGTTAGTGCAAATGGTAAAACCAAGGTTGGGCATTGCTGGAGGAGTTTTATTCAAGGTGAACTGTCAAGGGGTTCCCATTATAACCCAACCGCGTAATGAACGCAAAATCCGGGAACATAACACCGATATGACGGAAACTAGGGTGGCAAGAGTGGAACAAAACACCAGGCATAAGGCCGAGCCTTCCATCCTTTACCAAGTATATAGATGCATTAATTAAATAAGACATATTGTGATATCCCAACAAAATATCCATATTCCAAACATGGAACAAGCTCCAATCTTCACCTGCAACTAACAACGCTATAAGAGGGGCTGAGCAAAGCGGTAACATAGCCAAACAACGGTTTGCTAGGACAAGGTGGGTTAGAGGCTTGGTTCAACAATATGGGAGGCATGATAAGCAAGTGGTAGGTATCGCAGCATAGGCATAACAAAAGAGCGAGCAACTAGCAAGCAAAGATAGAAGTGATTTCGAGGGTATGGTCATCTTGCCCGAGATCCCGCAAGGAAGAAGAACGAGTCCATGAAGAAGTCAAACGGACGTAGTCGACCGGATCCTCACACACACGATGTTATCGGAACCAACCTGAAGAAGCAACACCGGAAAGAAGCAAACAACATAGTAAATAACCATGACATGAACATGGCATGATGCACAATCAAGTATGATGCATGTCCGATTTAATGAAGCATGGCATGGTAAAGTGCACAAGCAATCCTACAAATTAAGTGGAGCTCATTATGCAACGGAGTTGCATATTGAAGAAAACACCACATGACTTATTTAGTACTCTCTCGTTTATGTACCCAACAATATTAAATGTTGTTAAACATGGCAAGAGGGTGAAGCAAAGAAAACTACCTATCTAGTCAAGTTTAAATAAGGCCGGAAACAACAAACAACAAGTCCGGTAAAACCCCATATGCATATTTTGAGGTTTGGTACTGTTCTGCCCTAAACACAATTTTAGAGTTATTAAACATGCAAAGTAAGGCCACCATGTTAAACTAGGCATTTTTCTACCCCATTTACATATAAATTTTATTAAATTCTGAGTTACGGTTATTAAGATATGAAATAAATCATTTTAGCATGGCTAGAGGCAAAATATATGCAAACATCACCTTAAACATTTTTAACATGGATGAAAGTTGCATATTTTTAAACTAGATGAAATTCTAAGCATGTTTCATATATAACATATTTTATTCCGATTTAATGAAGCATGGCATGGTAAAGTGCACAAGCAATCCTACAAATTAAGTGGAGCTCATTATGCAACGGAGTTGCATATTGAAGAAAACACCACATGACTTATTTAGTACTCTCTCGTTTATGTACCCAACAATATTAAATGTTGTTAAACATGGCAAGAGGGTGAAGCAAAGAAAACTACCTATCTAGTCAAGTTTAAATAAGGCCGGAAACAACAAACAACAAGTCCGGTAAAACCCCATATACATATTTTGAGGTTTGGTACTGTTCTGCCCTAAACACAATTTTAGAGTTATTAAACATGCAAAGTAAGGCCACCATGTTAAACTAGGCATTTTTCTACCCCATTTACATATAAATTTTATTAAATTCCGAGTTACGGTTATTAAGATATGAAATAAATCATTTTAGCATGGCTAGAGGCAAAATATATGCAAACATCACCTTAAACATTTTTAACATGGATGAAAGTTGCATATTTTTAAACTAGATGAAATTCTAAGCATGTTTCATATATGACATATTTTATTTGGATGCACGGATATTTAGTTATGAACAATTCAAAATGATGGCATAATCTGTAGTTATGCATGCACTAGAGAAATGCTAAATTGCAGTGAACAGGGGGAAAACATATGCGGGCTGAAAGTAATGCACTGTGCAAACCCAGAAGCAGAATTGGCCCGAAGCGGATTTTTGCACGTTTTGGAAAAAAACACAGAGGAAAAGAATTGAGGCTCCATGGGATTCGATCCCAGGGCCTCCTCCTCTTCGTGCGCTGCGATGGCCAGTGGGCTTACTGACTTGATTGGCTGAAAAATGGAATTGAAAACATGAGCAGAGCTTGATCTGAGTGAAGCAAAAATTGGTGAAAACAAAAGTTGCGGCCTTGGGGATTTGAACTCTGGTCTCCCGGGTGGAAGTGCAGCGCAGCGACCAGCTGGGCTGAAACATTCCTTGTGGACTGTAGGGGTTCGTCCCTAAATGACACATCCTCTCGAACTGAACTGAACTGAAGAAACACGAACAGGTAACAAAAAGGAAAAACAAGGGGGGCGCACGGGATTTGAACCCGAGATCCCTCAGATTAGCATGAGCGGCGATGATCACCAGGCTAGTGAGGAGATTGATTTCAGATGGGGCGCAATGACTAAAGGCTGATCCTAACTTACAAGCCATGGCTTCGGACGGACGGCAAAACTCTGGCGACGACAGCGAGCGAAGGCGGCGGCTTCTGCAGCAGAAGAGTACCGGCGTGGGTGCGGGATTGGATGCTTGAGCAGCTGCGGGATGGTCGCGTGCAGGCGGAGCAGCTGCAGGAGATTGGCTCGAGCACGAGCTTGAGCTCGTCCCGGGCATGGCGGTGAGGCAAGACGCAGTAGGGCCACAGGCTCGCAAACTAGCGCGATCGTGCGCATGTGCAGATGCATGTGCTTGTTGGTGTGCCCGCGAAGGTGCAGCAAAGGGGCGGGGCGCGTGCAGAGGACGCGCGTGTGCTGTGCGCGTATGTTTAGGAGGCGCATGGGTGTGAGGAGCTCGAGAACCTCATCCATGGCGGATATGGGATTGGCGACTAGGGAAGACGACCACGGTGACAGAATTGAACCGGAGGGAGAGATGGGGAGGAGCGGGGCTTCACCGTGGGGGTGCTGCTGGAGTCGTACGAGGTCGCGGGTGACTGGAGACGGCGGGATGGCGCGATGATCGACAGAGGCGCTTGGGTCCGTGAAGCAGAGGAAGCAGAGGAAGATGATGTCGAGGAACTTGGTGGCTCCGGCCTTGGATCGCAGCGGGAACGAGGTCGTGAAGGTCTCTTGGTGCGCGAGGAAGGAGGGAACCGGCAGAACGGGCTACGCCGGAGAAGAGGTTCGGCTCGTCCCAGACATGGCATCGGGAGGCAAGGCAGCAGGTCGCGTGGGAGCGTCTTACCTGCGCGGCGGCGGCGGAGAAGAGGGAGAGGAGGAAGATGGAAAACCCTAGGCTTGGCTGGGGCTTTATAGGAGGGAGGCGCGTGCGTGGCTCGGCCACGGTGGTCATGTGGGCGCCATGGCCTCGTTTTACTGTGAGGGAAGAGACGAGAGGAGGAAGAAAAAGCAGGGAGGAAGAGACGTTGCAGGTGGGGTCCGGCTGGTTGTCTAGCGTGGCTATTACCACGCTAGCGAGAGGAGAGGTCAGGCACCAGTGCTAGCCTGCTGGTCGGCTCGGATGGGCCACAGGTGGCCCGGGTAGGTTTGTCTCCTTTTTCCTCACTTAACTGATAAACAAAAGAAATAGTATAGAACAGAAAGAATAGGGGCTTAGACGAAGAATTTTAGAGATATAAAAATACCTCTGGACTCCTGGAATTATGCACAATTTGATAAAAGTGATCTGGCAATTTTTACAGATCTAAAAATAATTCAAGTTTGAATTAAATTCGAACTTGAGCCATTTTTTAACCCAACCAAAACAATCCCAAAAAGATGATATTTGACACAGAGGTAAAAGGCCGAGAGTAAGATCATCAGGAAATAAATAAACATTAATGGAGGATGGGGAAAACGCCACTTGCAATAATTGGGAGAAAAGAAAGAATTGGAAGCGTTGACTTGGTTTTGATGAAACTTGGTGGAACCAAGTTGGAGCTTGAGCATAAGAAAAAGGGGAGGCAAGAGGAAGAACATACCCAAGCACACAAATGGAAACAAGGCAATATGAACATGATGGATGCAAATGCACATGGCAACATACATGAAGATGGAATGCACAAAGTGAGAATAAAAGATAACACAAGCATGATGATGGAACAATTTATTATGACAATCATGGCAATCCATACATGGCAACAACAAAATAAATGGAAGGCATCTGGAGCATCTGTCTCAGGGCATCACAATGCGCGCGACCGAAATCGCTTCCGCCCACTATTTGGGACACCAGGGATTACCATCCTGCCCCCGACCCGTAGTAGGTCCAAAATTTAAGAGGGGGGCAAAGTTTGTACTTTCCCCAAATTTCAAACAAGCGCGTCCCATCTTCTGTTTAAAAAAGCCAAAAACAAGCGCGTCCCAGACCGAAACATGGTTCCCCCACCCGTCTGATTCCCCATTCATACTCCATGGGCGCCAAAACTACCTCTCCACCAGCCACGAAACCACGGCGTCCTTCGTCCGCCACCCCATCCCACCCATCAACCGCCGCCCTCCTCCATCACGCCGGAGCCGATACCCCGACGTCGTCGTCCACCGCAACCTCAACCGCAATGCCCTCCATGGCTAGTAGTTGAAGCCGAGGCCGAGCCGTTCGTACCCGAGCCAGTTCAACCACGCCGTCCTGCGCCTCACCGCTGCCGCTCCAACTTCGCCACCCTCCACCGCACCGGAGCTGTTCCTGCTACGCCATCCTTCGCCACGTCGGATCTGCTTCCCCTCCGCCAACATACGGCCACGGCAACACTGTCAACAATTTGGCCATGGGTTCGTCCAAGCCTGCACCCTCCAGAACATCGGTTTCCTCGGTAAAAAGAAGAAGATCGACGCGACATGTGGAGGTGACCACACCGGCATTCGAAAAAGGTACTCCTCTTCCCTTATTCGTGCAAATCTTACGTCTCTGCTTGCACGGTATTCATCCCACAGAAGACACTAGTTGATCGCTTCTTCTTGATACTAGATGTTCCTAGTAACTCGCGATGCACAAGGTTTCTCCTCATATACTATTTCACCTTAGCTAGAGGTCTGTCGCCCCCCTGAATTTCAGTTTCTGGCCAATTGATTCCCAATTAATGGAAGCATTCCCCAGGGTAATAGGCGCTAGTACGCCTATTACGTTGGGGAAGCAGTGCCTTGGTGTTTATCTTAGGGGTGTGTGCGGCCTAGAGCTACTGGCGCCCGATCTGGAGGTCGGCTGGGATTAAAGGGATGGCTTGGGGGCGCTGCCAAGGACGGCGGTGGTGTGAGGTCGATGGGAGGGCGGGGCGGCGGAGGCAGGGGTCTGGGCCGGTGGTCGCTGGCGGTTCGAGAAAGATCGTCAATAGTGACTGGCGGGAGGTAGATGAAGGCCATCTGCCCGTTCCTTATAGATCAGACGGTTCATTAAAAAATCGACTGATCTATTTATTTTTAGTCGACTGTTATCTTAGATATGACCACATGTGGTGGTGTACTGGAGGAGTACCTGCATTTCCTGTGCTCATATATTACAAAATCATACGGAGTAGAATCTAATTTTGTTTGCCATGCAATGTTGTAGAGCTATCATATGTCTCCTGTCATTTATTTTTCAGCCACCTGCTATCTGCTACTTTTACAGCGCACTAGTTCTGCACACACTTCACCCTTACTCTCACTATTGTGTTTTTATGCAAGGGTATTTCAGACTCTGCTGCCATGAGAGAAGTCAAAAATAAAAGAGAGAAGTCGCTCCAGCTTCATATGCGGGTAGGCAAGACACATTACAGCGCTATAAAGGGTGCAGTGTCAGCAGATGGAGACGGTAAACGTAGCTCTGGAGTTGATGACCTCGCTCTCAATGAACCACCATCCCAGGTGCTTGCTTAACTTCGCGGTGTCATATGTGGTTGCATGTTCCATATGATGTCTAGCTTGTATTCGAAAGGCCGAAGTCCGTAAGATAAGGAATTTTTTTATATGAACCACCATCCCGTGAGCACCAGAAGACAAATAACTAGTCAGGGCACTGGCCGAGCCAGTGACAAGCCCAACAAAGATAGGCATCACCTGGAAGCCAACTAAAAATCTACGATGGTGGCGAAGTAGCCCGCCTCCCACCAGGATCTCAGGTCCTAGATGATCATGCTCACCACTTCGGCCGGATGTCTAGCTTGTATTGCTTCCAATTTGGTTAAATTGCATCTGCTTAGCTTACACATTATACCTTTGAATATGACATGCCTTTCTGTTTTTGGTACATACTAGTCCATCTATGTATTAACCATGTTCTTATATCAAACTAATGTTCTTGTGTATCCCTCATCAATCACTTATGACGAGGCAGGCAGGCAAGGGGACTACTCCTCATTTAGAGAATGCAGCGTCAGCCTCCCGACATGATTCTCAAGAAACAACAGAAATGCGAGATGAAGATAGTGAACGTAGCTCTATAGTTGATTACATCATTTCCCCTACACTAGCATCGCAGGTGCTTGCTCTAACTTGGTAGCATGATATGTGGTTGCATGTTGCATATGGTGTCTAGATTGTAATTCTTCCAATCTGGTTAAACTGCATGTGCTAGTCTGCCTAGCTTATACATTATACCTGTTAATGTGACATGCCTTCCTGTATTTAGTACATAGTACATCTGTCTATTAAGCATGTCCTTACATAAAACTATTGTTTTTTTGTATCCCGCATCAATCAACATGACAAGACACCTTTAGTATATGCAGTGCGATATTATTTGCATCTTTCATATGATTTATAGCATGTGCTGCTTCTAATTTGTTGAAATTCCATTTATGATGGGACACTTTTAACTTCACAGAGTCATATTGGTTGCATCTTTCATGTGGTGTCTAGCTTGCACTGCTTCTTATTTGCTGGAATGGTTTCTGCTTAGTTTACATAAACAGTTGTGAACATGCCATGCCGTCCTATTTTTCATACATATTCCATCCTGGTATCATGTGTTTGCCTTACATCAAAGTAGTGATTGTTAGTATCATGCATGAATGAGTTCTGAAGAGAGAATTTTATTGCTTTTTCTTGTCGGTTTTACTTGACAATTCAAAATCAAGTTAGCAAGGCAGCGGATAAAGGTGGTCCTTCTGAACGGAGGGCCTCTACAGTTTCTACTCCTCCACACCCCCAAGATGATTTCCAAGACAACACATGCATAGACACTCAACAAAGCTGTGTTTATGATGAGCACGTCTCCCCTAGTGCAGCATCACCGGTGCTCCCTCTAACTTGGCACTGTTATATGTGGTTGCATGTTATGTGTGATGTCTAGCTTGTATTGCTTCTAATTTTGTTGAATTCCATCTGCTTACTTTACACATTATACTTGAATAAGACACGTGTTCCTGTTTCTAGAACATACAATATCTGTCTATCACACCATGTTCTTACATCAAATTACTACTGTTGTGTAACCTGCAACAATCACTTATCATAAGACACGTTTGACTTCGGAGTGTGATATAGGTTACATCCACATTCTTTTCTAGTTTGTACTACTAATTTGTTGAAATGGAACTTATGACGAGACAATTTTAACTTGGTAGAGTGATATTCGTTGCATCTTTCATATGGTGTCTAGCTTTCATTGCTTCTAATTTGTTGAAATGTCTTCTCCTTAGTTTACACATCATAAGCTGTGAATATGCAATGCTGTGAATATGCAATGGCACTAATGACGAGAGACCTCTAACATGGTAGTGTGATGTTGTTTGCATCTTGCATATGATTTATTTCTTGTACTGCTTCACATTTGTTTAAACGCCATTTATGATGAGACACTGTTAACTTGGCAGAGCGATATTTGTAGCATCTTTCATATGGTGTCTACCTTCCATTGCATTGCTTCTAATTTGGTGAAATGTCTTCTTCTTAGTTTACACATCATAGTTCTGGTTATCTCTCCCGTCCCGTTTTTCATACATATTACATCCTCCTATCATGTGGTTGTCTAACATCAAAGTTCAATTCATCTGCATCACGCATCAATTTGTTCTGAAGAACTAAATTGTTATTCATTTTTCTTGTCGGCTTGACTTAACATGGCACAGAGAAAGAGGAAGAAACACAGAATGGCAGGGAATGAGAAGCGGATGAATCTTGCAGATTCTGCTGGTACTGATGGTGCAATAGAAGGTCAAAGTCCAGCGGAAAATTCTACAAACACGGCATCCCATGCTACACGAGTTGCAAAAAAAGCCAAATAGAAAAAAAATAGCTGCCACCAAACAAGCAGAGACAGCCCTAGTTCTTGCAACACCTACCACAGTACTACCAGCTGCACGACTTACTCGTGCGTCA